TTTGATACATTGGTCTCTAGACCCCCATAATTACTGTATGATTTCACTGGATTCGTACTGTATGTTTAATTCCTAGTTAATTATGATTGTTTGAATAATTATGGATAGATGATTTGTTCTTTTCCAAAGCTAGACTATTTTTAAACCTAGATACAAATGCCTTGTTCTCCAGGATAACGTGAGTTTTACTCCAAGATAGGATTCAGGGTCTAGTTTTCTGTAATTTCACTAATACTTTTATTTCGGTTGCATTTGCTTTTATACATGAAATTCTTTCACTAAAACTTCCTTGTTTTAGTGATTCCCAAGAGCGGCAGACGATGTGACGCTTTGCTACACATATAATATGTGCTGTGTTGACTTCATCAGGCTTTCTGTTTCATTAAGAAATTGTAAAATTTATTTATGGAGACAATGCTTTACAAATAGAGCTTAGGAAACATTAACGCACATAAGTAAATATCTACTTTGATGAAAACCTGCCTTAAAGGCCTTTCAGGTCTTTGATTCCCTTCATTCAAATTTGTGGCATTACAAATCACTTTATGTGTCTCCTGGGTTCCAGTCACAGTTTGCTGGCACCTGTGCTGGTGGAAACACAGGGCCTGTGCTATTCCAGACAAGACACCGGAGAGAAACAGAGAAACAGGGACTCTGTGGTCTGAGAAGATTCAACTGCAGTCCAACGTGCTTAGGGTGACTGAAACAGTGCTTAACATCTTCAGGGCTACTTTTCCTTCTGTGTAAAATGAATATTCCAGTAAAGAGAGAATTCTGAAATGATGAATTTTAAATACACCTTGAAAGTGATGCTTTATGAGGACCTGATTGTCTGTGACCCATCTCTCTTAAGTTCTAGAATATGTTAGTATCTTTAAGTATGTGTCTATGCTCAGACTGTATAAATGACTAGACTAATAAATGCCAATAAAACTATTATTTTGAGTATTCTCCTAAGAATCCAAAAGTAATCTCAAATATAAAAGGGAAATCTTCTAAAAAATTTACTTTAAAATAACCTGGCTTCATAATCCACTGAGTTTGTAAACATTACATTTTTAGAATCTTGATTTTAGATAAAATACCCAACAAACAATATCTAAAATGTAGTTTAATTTTATTTTCACAATTGATATTAGACTTTTTACCCTGTTGAGGTTACAATCACAGAGATACCATCTTTATAAAACTTACACTTTTATGAAATGTTTAATGTAGAAAAATATAACGTAAGAGCAATATGGGAAAAAGGGAAAGGCCGGACATTTAATTTATGTCGTAGACTAAGAGTAACATGCAGATTTCAGGCCCGTTGAAGCTCAGCGTCTGCCTTTATCACTCACGTAGTGATGTGTCTATCTGTATTTACTAATTATGGGAATGAAACAAAATGTGCTTTTTTTCCCCCCGAGATTCTCTTGCCTGTTTGAGGTACCAAAGCCAGTGCCTTCTCCCTTTGAAGTGATGAGACTGTTGGTTGCCCTAATATAGACTTGCATGCCTGCACAAACGAGACTTGTATAACAGAATTGCAGAACGTGTGAACTAGTTTGTAAATGTTAAGCTCTATCAGAAAGAAGTAATGCCTTCTTAGTGCGATATTTCACTTTTAAATGATGTTTTTTGTTTTTCACTCTGTTGGGAAGTTTTGTAAGTTCAGGAAAGAAAATACAGAAATCTTTCTCTGTAATACTGACAGGAATCCCACATATCCAGTCTCTTCCTGGTTCTTTGCTTTGGGTGACTTGTGCCCTCGTGTGTGACCATAAGGTGCCCTTTCAATTGACAGTTACAAGCAAATGATGGATGCCTTCATGGAGCTTTGCACAGCCAAAATCAGCCAAGATATTCATACTGATTTGGAAAGGAAGGTTTAGATACTCAGGACACAGAATGGCCAATCTCAGAAACATTTGGATGAAGTCTATAAGAAAAAAAGAATAAAAAGACAATGAGAATGCTTAAATCATCTGCCGTACTTATTTAGGAATAGAATGAGTTCTAGAGATAGTAAGTTAATATTACCTTATCTAAGATTTTCTGATAGCAATAAATAGATTCTTGTACAGCATTGTTATTGTTAAATTTAAACCAAATTTAATAGTCTAAGTTTTTGGAAGTGAAATTTGTTTTTTTAAATACTGTTTCTTGTCAATAGTTTTTAGCTATTTTCTTCTTACAAGAAAATATTTAATTATTTTTTTTAAAAAATTATCTTTTCTCATTTTACACACCAATCCCAGTTCCCATTCCTTCCCCTCCTCCCTTTCCCTCCATCTCGCCCCTCCATTCACTTCTCAGAGAGGATAAGACTTCCTGTGGGGAATCAACAAAGTCTAGCACATTGCTTTGAGGCAGGACCTAAGGTCCTCCGTACTCTATCTAGGCTGAGCATAGTATCCCTTCAAAGAGAATGAGCTCCAAAAAGTGAATAAAAATAGTACAGATAAACACTTAAGGAAATGTTCAACATTCTTAGCCATCAGAGAAATGTGAATCAAAACGACTCTGAGATTCCATTTTACACCTGTCAGAATGACTAAGATCAAAAACACTGATGACAGTTTATACTGGAGAGCAAGCAAAGGAAGAGGAAATCTCCTACATTGTTGGTGGGAGTGCAAACTTGTACAAACACTTTGGAAATCAGTATGGGGGCTTCTCATAAAATTGCGAATCAACCTATCTCAGGACCCAGCAATACCACTATTGGGCATATACCCAAAAGATGTTCAATCATACTACAAGGACACTTGTTTAACTGTGTTCATAGGAGCATTATTTGTCATAGCAATAACCTGGAAACAACCTAGATGCCCTTCAACTGAAGAATGGGTGTAGAAAATATTTTATAAAACCTTTACCTATGCTGTACATAGTTTTGTTTGACTGCTTAAATTTTACTTTATATTCACTTTCAACAATTTTAAAGTGGTAAATCTTTTAATATTTTCTTTAAAATTTGAATTTTAGAAGTTTTGCCTTTCAGAGATTGACAAACACAAAATTGCTTATTTCTGACACTTTGACATCCTTTCTGACTAGTTTTCTGTAGTTTTTAAAAAAATATATTTTTCATGTTGAAGCACAACTTTAGCTCCTCCTTTACTGTACACGTATGCTTTTACGATTTATTCTTTGAGCTTTTCATACATGTGTACAATGTAGTTTCATTATATCCTATCACTCCTAATCATACCACATCATATCACTTACTTCTGGACCCCTAGCCCTCCATTACCCTTCCTCCCACATCTTCCTCTTGATTTCAGGTTCCCCTGATTTCAACCAGTGCTCCGTTCATACACTCCCATCAGCTCTGCCCATGCTGGCGTGTGGACTAGCTTCATGGTGTTCATCTTGAGAGCAAAGAAACAACTGCTATTGGTTCCTGAGCCCAATGAGTCTGTCATGTTCAGAAGACACTATAGAGCAGCAACAGCCTCCTCTGGCTCTCGCACTCCTGCCTCCTCTTCCACTGATGTGTAGGATGGAATATGGTATAGATGTCCATTAAAGGCTCCACATCACTAATTCTCTGAACTCTGACTAAGGCGTCTGGATGAATTTCTGTCCACTGTAAATAGAAGCTTCTGTGATACGGGCTGAGAGCTGTACTAATTTATGGGTATAAAGATAAGTATTTAATAAACAGTTTGATACTCCATCCATTCTAAAACTAATAGTTATAATTTGGTATTCAGATTAGAGTTTTTCAATAGTATTCAAAATTAAGAATTATACTTATTTTATTAATTTTTTGAGACCAGGTCTCACACAGTCAAAGCTGGCCTTGTGTTTCTAATGTATCATGAGTTGGCTCTGCGCTTCTTATTCTCTTCCTTTACCTTCGAAATGTTGGGTTATAGACATGAGTCACTGCACCAAGTTCAAAATTGAGAATTATTTAAATAAGCAAATTAATTTAAAAATGAATAATTTAAATGATTATAGATAACTTAGTTGTTACTGGAACCCTATTGAGTCTTTTGATTTATTCTACCAAGGCAGGCTGATAGTCCCCAGAGAAATATGAAGGGAACAATAGTCTTCAGCATGCCTGGATTCTCAGTTCTTCTTCTATTGCTGTAAAAGGTAACAGAACCTTAAAACTGCACCCAAAGTAAACATCTTTGTGATGCTGATGGCATCATGGTTACCCCAAATATTAACAAACTTAATCAATTTAATGTTGCTTTCTAGATGTCACTGTCTTCAGGAGAGGCTAAACATGTTAGTCCTTACCTCCTGGACAGTGATGACTTAAATTTACTAATACCTGAGATCTCAATTCTACCATCCTCAAATTTCACTTGTGAGAATAAAAAAGTCATGTAGAAAAAAAAATTAGTTCTGCATTCCAGATCAGTTGCAGTGGTGGGTCAATAAACCTTGCAGGTGTCATCAGTGTAGGGAATGGAATAGTCAGAAGAACCAATGTTTATGAAGAGAAGTTACTGGAAAGGTTGGTGATAGACAACTTTTCACCATGACCACTCTGCAGCAGCCCAATTGTTGGAAGCGACGATTTCACATCTGAGCCATGGTATCAATTCATGGTGCCATTCTCAGAATTGCTCATAATCCAGCTAAGAACTCTGCTACCAGGTGCTCCAAATCTTCAGGTCAAGTTGACTAGAGTATAAATAGGAACTTTGTTAAAGTATCTTCCCACCTCTTCTATCATTTTTATACTACATATATTTGCACCAAGCAAGGCTTGCATCCATTTATTTATTCATTTATTCATTGATTGATTATTTTTTCAAGACTGGATTTCTCTGTGTATCAGCCTGGCTACCCTGGAACTAATTCTCTAGACCAAGTTGGCTTCAAACTCACAGAGGTCCACCTGACCCTATCTCCTGAATGGTGGGATTAAAGGCATGAGTCACCACCTGTGGACATAATCTAAATTTAAACCTAAATATTACTAGTTTTCTTGTTTTCTGTATTATTGTAATTTTCAGGGTTTTTTTGTATTTTATTGATTTTTCCAGATAATGGCCATGCTTCCATTGGACAAAATCAGCATCTCTCACTAGATTTCACCTCCTAACTGGCTGGTTCACTGAACACTGGGCCAAGTGATATTCTTTCAGTGATCAACATCTGAAAACAGGGTGAGTGTCTAGTCCTTGCTTTCCACAATTCTGCTTAAGATCCTCATCTTCTCTCATGTTGTCATCTCAATTCTTCCTATTTCTCTCTGATCCTTTGTTCATTAATCCACCAAGAACTTTTACCTAACGTATTTGTCAAGGATCATAACAAAATAATTTTAAACAATTCACTGACTCTTAAAAATGACTCAAGGAAATCTGAAGAGTTCCAATGGCAGTTTAGTTTGTTACTGAAAGAATACAGAAAAACATGACTCTCAACTAGAACATAAGAGTCAAATGCTCCTGGGCACAAAAGGTGAGCATTATTCCTATATGCATAGGACTTGATCTGGATACAATCTAAACACATTACATGAGCTGTAAAATCTCAATCACTAGAGGGTGTCACTAGAGCTATCAGTAAAGGAAGACGAGAATTTCAGAAAGACACTATGATTCCACTGTTGGCTGCACTATACATTAGTTGAGTGTTTAATAAGCTTATGAAGATAAAGTACATAATCCTTTTTGTATATAATATAATTATATTGTCAATTTATTAGTAAGATTAAACAAAATTGCAGGTAGGTAGACCTGTATAAATACAGGCAAATAATAAGAAATTTGTTTTACCAGAAAATATATTACAAATTCCATTGGTTAATTCATAAAATTTATTAGCTGTCTTCTTAGAAGATTTGGACAGTGTTTAGCAAGATTGGTAAGGAAGGAGTTAAGCCAGTAAGAAAGATCAAAAGAAGTTAAGTTGCTACTGGCCTGTGAAAAAAGATTCTAGCAGAACCTGAAGTTGTAAAGTTATGTACCAGGACCACAACAAATCCAATCATAGGACTGGGGATGAAGTGCATTGGCCCAGACTTAATGATCATCCTTGGAGGACAATGACAGCAGACAAAGATAGAAATTGATCTGAAGAGATGATCTAACAGTATGCCTAAGACATATTTATTGACTAAAAATATTCTGTCTCTCAGAATATCCAAATCATTATGTGGAGATGACAGTAGGTTATGGACTAAGAGCTGGATAGTAAAAAGGAAGATATAAAAGATAGAGAAACATTAATTTCTCAAAGTTTGAAAATAATAGACTAATTATGAGGCAGTTAGGGAATAGTTGGAATAGAAAATTTTCAAAGAAGCAGAACATGTGTCTTACTATAATAAAAACAAAATGATTTTTTAACTTCTAAATGAATATACTGTACTACACTATTAATTATTATTGAGACCAGTGAAATGTGACCTAAATTTGAAGCTTTAAAATAACTAAAAATTGAATGTTGTTTATTATGCTTATGTTTTCACAGAAATAATATTATAGTTACATTCATATTTTGTACATATTATATAAACATAAAATGCACATATTATAGATAATATATATACAAGTATATGTCTTAGTCAATATTTTATTGCTATGAAGAGACAATATGGCCAAGACAATTCTTACAAAACAAAACATTTAATCTGACCTATGACTATCTTTTAATTGTAGGGTTTAGTTCATTATCATCATGATAGGGGACATGGAAGTAAGCAGGCAAATATTCTGTTGAAAAAGAACCTGAGAGTTCTACATCCTGGTTCATAGGCAGAGACAGGGAGATACTCTGGGCTTGGCATGGGCATGGACTTTTGAAACCTCAATGTCCATCCCAGGTGACACACTTCCTCCAACAAGTCTACAATTCTTAATCCTTCTAATCCTTTTAAATAGTGCCTTTCCTGGTGACAACCATTAAAATATATGAGCCCATGGGTCACCATTCTTATTAAAACCACCATAATATATATGTGCATTTCCTTCAACTGCAGAGGAAAGATTCTATTTGGAATTTGGAACCTAAATTCAGCTTTACAGAGCCTTTGTACAGCTTTCAAATGAAAGGCTCCATGCTGTGGTCTGACATAAAGAAGCTCAACGTTTTGGGATGGCCGCATAAGGAAGAGATGCTTTTAAATGAGAGAACTGAACATTTTGTTCATCATGTGGCTTTGCATCTTAATAAAAAATAAATGCCTAAAATTCATTTGATTCATTGGTTTTCTGCCTTTATAGTTGTGAAATGAATGTTTAAGTCTCACTAGCTAATTTCAAATGTTTATACAAACTGTAATATCACCCGAGACCTTTGTGAAGGGTATAATGATGAGTAGATAAGATCCTGGCCCATTGGTGAGAATTCAGCTGAGAATGGGAGCAAGGAAAATGACAGTTTGCATTTTAGTTGCTTATTAATTTATATGTGTTCATGTAAGTGTGTGCAATTTACACACTGTGTGTTATGTGGGTGAGGAGGCTACAGGTTCAAATCAGGTGTCTGTGTCTCCAAGCAGACATTTAACCTACTGAGCCATCTCCCTAGCCATAGAAAAGCACATTTTATGCATTAAGGAAATGCAAGGCAGCACAAAGAATGGTGAATGTTTTAGACAGATGTATAAAGAATTAGTAATTACCTTTACTTGAATGAAGCTTCCTGAATGTTCTGTCTTTTTGCTGGCTTAAGGAAAGGGCATGGTGTTATAGATAGATAAGAGGTTGCAAAGGTATTCTATGTGACTTAGAGTAGTCATCACATGTGTTGAACAGAGTTTGTTATGCATCATGTACTGGCCAAAATGCTTTTCATACAATCAAATAAATTACTACATAGTTTTATACAGAAACATTTGACTCATAATACTATGTGGCTACCATTATTTGAAAAGCTCTCAGTTACCTATCAATGCATAAAGTGAAAAGATGTCTCTCTCTTTTCAACCATCAAAGAGCACAAGAGATAACTATGTTGTGTTTTTGGTATATTTTCTTCCATTATTTAAGTGCTTATGAAGCATAGAAAATTACTCCTAATGTTTTTATGGCAGATGTGTTCTTGTTTTTCAAGCCAGAGAAACAATATTTTCAACAAACAGAAATGATTAACTTCAAACTTGTAACAAAATTGGTTAAATTAAGTAACTGATGGATAGATTTGAATTATCCTTCGGTATGGAAATTTAGCAAATGTAAATCAAAGCAATATGCAATGGAATTTCTTATTGTATCTGTCAAAGGGATTACATTTACAAAAATTGAATTTTCAGTATTTGATGCTTTGAACAAAAGTAATAATTCTAGCATTCTTTTTAGAAGCTATACTCCAATTTAAAAAAAATAAAAATTATCTCAAATAATAATACGTTGTTTTATAAAATGAGGTAAGGGGCAAATTTTATTTTTACCTTTAGTGAATATAGCTCCCCTCATACAAACTGATAGTGATTTCGAGTTTAGACGAGAAATGAATAAATATTTCCCAAGAGATACCGAGAAAATAATTAGTTGGCAGGATTGCTATAAGAAAGACGTGGAACTGAAAGTGATGATTTAGAAGAGATACAGGTTTATAATGAAAATAGGTCTACACAGATATTTTCTGTGTAGCCTTCACATTTTTCTCTCAGACATTTATAGGTGATAGGTTTTTTTTTATAATAACATTTTGCTGTATTTTGACTTCCTTCTAGTTGTTTTATTCTCTTGTTGGATTTACATATTTCTAATGGACTGAGTCAAGTAAAGTTTATGTACAGATCTCCTAATGAGGAAGGTTTCCTATCTGGTGATGTATACGGGCACATCAGGAACTGATCTATGTCTTATGTAGAGGCCAACATGGCTCTATTACAAAAGGAAAATGTGAAGAACGTACAAATCTAACAATGTGATTCTTACCATAATTTCTGAGCAATCACCCCTAATGAAGAACACATATGGTCATATTAAGTTAATTATTTGCATTTTCACCAACAAGCTCTGATCTGCATTAGAAGTGGATCTTTATCCTCTGACTCACAGGATTTTTTTTTATTTCTCAATATGTTCTTATGCATTTAGTGTGGTTGCGAGTGAATTTTGTAAGAAATAAAATTTGAGTCTTCCTGACTCTGCATGACATTTATAATGTGGATTGCAGGGATAATGATCTGATCTCCATCCATGTACTCAACAAATGCTTTCTTTTTTTTTAATCTAAAATTTTTATTTATGTTATATGTTAACCATAGTTTTCCCCCTCTTTTCTCCTTTCATTCCCTCCCCCACCTTCTCTATCACCCCTTTCCCATTTACTGCTTAGAAAGGGAGTCAACAAAGCCTGGCATATCAAGTTGAGGCAGGACCAATCTCCTCCCCTCTGCTTCAAAGCTGAGAAAGGCATCTCACCATAGGCAATGGGAGTCAAAAAGGCAGCTCATGCACCAGGGACAGATCCTGGTCACACTGTAAGGGGCCTCTCAAAAAGACCAAGTTACACAACTGTCTCCCATATGCAGAGGGCCTAAGCTGTTCTCATTCAGGCTCCCTAGCTGTTATAGTCTAGGGTCCCTGAAGCTCTAAGAACTTGGGTCAGCCATCCCTGTGCATTTCCCTGAATGATCTTGACACCTCCCTCTTCCCCTCCGCTCATATAATAATCCCTCCTCCTTTGACTAGCCTCCCAAAGCTCAACCCAGTGCTTGGCTGTGGGTCTCTGCATCTGCTTCCATCAGTTACTGGAATAATGTTCTATGATGAGAATTATGGTAACCACCAATCTGATTACAGGGGAAGGTCAGTTGAGGCACCTTCCCACTATTGCTAGGAGTCTTAACTGGGGTCATTCTTGTGAATTCCTGTGATTTTCCCTAGCACCAGGTTTCTTCCTAACCATTTAATGGTGCCCTCTATCAAGGTGTCTCTTTTATTACTCTCCCTCTCCATCCTTTCCCCAAATCGATCATCCAGATCCTTCATGCCCCAATCCCTCATCTCTTTCCCTATATCCCCTGTCCTCAGTTTGCCCAGGATGTCTCATCTATTCCCCCTTCCTTGGGTGATCCCTCTTAGGGTCCTCCTTGTTACCTAGCCTTTCTGGGGCTATGTGTTGTATCTTACTTATCCTTTGCTTTACAACTAGTGTCCACTTACGAGTGAGTACATGACTGCCATGTTTGTTTTTCTGTGTCTGG